TTACTAATTAATTAATGGTTAACTACTGATTAAAATAAACTATTTACAAATAACAGTAAATTATCACAAAAATTACTCTTAATTTTCACTGTTTACAATAAATAATTATAAAAAATTAACAATGAATTGTCAGTCAAATAACAATCAATAATTATCAGTAATTATTAACTTACAGTAATTTAAGTTATTCTAAATTACTAAATAACTGAAAATCAATAAAATATTTTTTTCATAACAATTATTAATTATAGAAAATCATCCCTATAATTACTATGAACTTACAATATTTAACAATATATAATTGTTTAGGTAAATTATTTTGGAAATTTAATATCCAATATTATATCTAAATAATTATATAACAAAATATTACTATTATGCAATAACTTTAAAATAAATAAAACTTAAATAACGAAAAATAGTTAGGTAATGAACATGACTTTAAATATTGAAATAACTAAATATTTTAAATAATGAACATAAATAAGTTTTAAATATTTAAAATAATGAAATTAAGTAAAAAATTTAAAAATTTTATGAAAAATAGAAAAATAATTATTATAGACTTCATAATATTCCAGTTAATAATAATAATTTTATATTTTACAAAATTAATAATAAAATTATGTAATAACAGTATAAATTATAATTTTATAGATTATATAATTTAATAAATAATTAATAGTTTTAAAATTTAAATAACAAAATATTTAATTAACCTAATAATATTTTAAGTAATTAAGGTGGTGTTTTGCATCGATGTGCCACATTAGAAAAAGTGGTGCCCTTCACAAAACGACCTCTTATTTGGTGCCATTTTTTCTAGAAAAAAAAATGTTGCTTTAGACCATGCCTTGGAAATCGGGAAAGTGTAGTCTTAAAAAATGTCAAATTCAATGTTTTCTCAGAAAACAGCCCATTGCTGCCAGTGGTGCGATGATGTGACATCAATGTGGCATCATCTTGGACGTTGAATAATATGACCAATGCTGAAAACGGTTCTACAGCATTGGTACCAAACAAAACTAGTGTTGTTTCCCCAGAAAACAACCTATGTGGTAGCACCATTTCCAAACAAAAAATAAGCACCGTTTTCTAAGCTTACAACTCAGACATACCTAGCACCGTTTTCTATGTTCCCAACACCGATGCCAAACACCTACTAATTTTTAAATATTTTAAATATTGATCAAAAAATATAATAACTAAATTATATTTCAAATATTATTGAAATAACAAAAAAATAGATTAAATAGTGAAAATGAGTAGATTAAATAACTTAGAACTATTGAAGTTTCCCAATAAAAAAAATATGTAATAACTTTCAAAAAATATCCTTTAATATATAATTGAAAATAGAATAATAATTACATTTATTATTGTACTAATAATAAACAATTATTTCACTTATATCAATTAATAATTCTAGAAAATAATTTTCAAAAAATAATATTTTTAAAATCTTTACCTATCTCTATTATATATTTTTATATGTACTAAAATTAATATTTATTGTATTCTCAGTAATTATTGATTATATTTTTGTGATAAATATAATTTCAATAATTTTTGGAGATTAAACTATTGTTATTTTACTTTTGAAACTTAATTTGTTAAATTTATTTTTAGCAATTGTGTATTTTCATTATAATTTATTCATTAGTATTTATTGAATATTAACCTATTATTGGAGATTATACTATTTATTAATTAATTTAATATATTTTCAGTATTTATTGTATTTCTGTAATTATTGGGTTTGTTTAGTTTTTATTAGTTATTGATTTTATTTTTATTATAATTTTATTTTCAATAATTATATATTTTTACTATAAAATTTCAATAATTATTGGCAATTAAACTATTGTTATTTATTAGAGATTAGACTATTAAATTAATTATTTTTATTTTCTTATTATAAAATAATTATTAAAAGTAGTACTTTTGGAATTGAGTCATAAGTTTGGACCCCATAAGGGTCATAATTTTTCTTTTTTTGGGCACTACACAATAAGTTAACAACACAATTCTTCAAAATCTGAGCCGTTAGCGAAACTTGAATCCACATCTCTACTAACCCTCATAGGGGTCAGAATTTTTTTTTTTCTTTTTTGGGCATAGCACAATAATTTTTTTTATTAATTTACTCTTATGTGTTTTTATTGTTTCACTTTTGTTTAACAAAAGTTCGTGCATCACACGGGTCCTGACTAGTAAATTAATAAAAAGTAGTAGTAATTTATTATTAAATAAACAATAATATATGATTAAAAATAATAAAAGAATACTAAATTTCATTAATTGATATTTGATTTATTTTTTCATTCCCATGCATTGACAAGGGGTCCTACTAGTTGTTGAGTGGCATGTTTGGGTTTCCCTAGGATTTTTTAAGCCCCCTCTCCCTTACTTGAGTGTCGTTTCACTCGGTCTCTCCTTTTAACTCACACGATCTCTAGGATTTTGAGCTTTGAACTCTCTTGAATATTGTACCCAATGGTAGTTGTAGGCAAGGTGGTGGTCAGGTTAAGGAGATGGTCTCCTTGAAGGACAGAGGAAGACCAAAGGCGAGGAATCAATTAGAGGGTCAAGGCAAGGAGAGTGGAGAGACGACTGAGCAGAGAATCAGATAATAGAGTTAATCAATAGCTAAATGAATGAATTTCATAATAAGAAGGATCTCTATTTATGGGGAAGATCCCGAGATCCTGAAGGGAATGAGCTAAAAGTTTTTTGTTTTCTACTAGGAAAGGGAATATTGGATTCGTTATTGGTCATTAAGGAGCATTGCTATGGTTTCATCACATGTTCCTATGAGGATCTCTTCGAGGATTGACTTTCCTTTCACCCGAAGATCCTCATAACCCACGTGTGCTACTACATTTTGCACCTTACTTAATTGACATGGCGCTAGTAACGTCATTGCTTGGCGGGCAACGTCTTATTAGACCTACGTGGCACCTTGTCACGTTTGTCACTTCAAAACTACACGCGTAGCTAATATTCGAATCTGATTTTTAACTAACTAGGATTCCATAGTGATCCAGGGTTCATTGTGGGGCCAAATGCATGTAAAAACTCATCGTAGGTTCAAATCGAATCTGTATTAGGCTTGCACTAAGCATAGGTTCATCGCAAGCGTGTGGTGAACCGCGGGTTTATCGTAGACTTGCGATGTACTATAAGCTTATCGCAGAGGAAAGATGAACTGCAGACTGATCATAAGCGTCCATGTGGCATCGATCTAGTGTTTTTTATGTTATGAGGGACTAACCGAGGACTATGCACCTACAATAGCCTCTAAATAAAGCATCAAAAGATGTTGCAATTGAATACATTCTCAACATGATAGAAAAATAATTTTTGATACTTTTAATATTATTAGTCAAGAGCCGTGCGACACATGAAGATGGAGTTTTATGACATTTCGAATTATGTATTGCTCATTTAAGTTCGATTCAAGTATTATTTTTTGGGTGAAAAATTGCCACCCATTTTCCTTTTCTCTCTGACAAACAATGTCATAGTCAATGGGTTACGTGAAGTAGCATCACTCTGTTTTGGTGACCAGAATAATGATGAATTGATCAAGGTTTTCAATTTTAACTTTGTTCTCAATAATAAATTTACTATCTTTGTTGGATTTTGATATTTGACCAACAATAAATATTAAACAAATTTTAATATCACATTATGGTAGCATATTATATTTTAAATGAGATTATTTTTTAGCTTGAAATAATGATCCATTGGTCAAGGCACTCACTTCTCTGTTTTCAATAATAAATTAACTATTTTGTTGGATTTTGAATTTTTACTAGAATAGTATAAGACAAAGCTAGAATATAACGTTGGAAATTGATCACTCTCATTGGGGAATAAACTGCATTGTCGTCAAATTGGCTAGACATAATCCAGAAATACTGCTTGAGATTGAGTTGAACATGATCCCAAACAAGTATGTCTGAAGATGGAGCATTTACGGGAACACGTATTGGAAAATTGACCTTGTTTTAGGATGTTGCGATGCTTATTTCAAACGCTGTCAAAGGTCTTTTACACCGCCACCCTACCCTTTTACGTTCTTTTTTTTCCTCTTGTTACTAATTAGTTGCTGGGATATTAGGGTCCGTTGGGTTTGTAGTCAGAATTGGAATCGGAATGTTTCATTTTCGTAGTCTGTTTTTGGTTTAGACTGGAATGGAATTTCATTCCCAAAGGAGAGGCAAGGAATGATGATCATTCCCTCAAATGGGGAAATGCCATTCCAACAGGAATGGGAATGAGATTCTAATTCCGCCCCATCAAACAGTTGGAATCGGAATAGGATTCCAGACCCCTATTCCTGCAAGACCCTTAAATTTAATAAAAAATCACACAGATTGTACTTACTTGAAGCATTCCCCGACTGTGTAGTGTATGTTTACACTGGCTATAACAATTTTTTCTTCCTAAAGTTAATGTTTGAGAGTGCAATCTTCTTTGGCTAAATTTTCCGGATTGTTTCAGGGTGCTATCCCTTCACTGATAGGGATACTTTCCTCACAAAGAGCTTTCCTCATGTTTACTTTGTTGGTGATCAAAATAAATAAATTGTAAGAAATGATTTATTTTGATCACCAACAAAAACAAATTAACAGTAAATAAAATAGATTGGGGAGAGAGGATTCATGTAACCAACCCCATATAGTTGAGATAAGACATGAATGATAATAAATTTTTATATATTCTTGCAACATCCTCACAACCCTTGCAGCCATGCATCGGTAACATCTCTCTCCATATCTGTATGATTTTATTCATGGAGATATATTTACAATGCACGAGCACGGCTGGCAAGGGCTGTGACTCTGTGAGGACGAAATTTGAACATTGAATTTCATCCTGACAAAATTGGTCCTCCCGTACACTGGGAACATCTCGCTGAAGTTGTGAGGACGGTGTGAAGACCAATTTTGCAAGGACGAAATCTGGATCCTCCAACGAGAACACCAAGGGTGTGGTTAATGAGATCAAACTCACTGGATCAGCATTCTTTTTACAAACATGCATCAGAGTAAAACAGAGTGATGGTCATGTGAGGGCAGTGAGTGACACATTTCGGCTCACACTTGCTACTCAGCCTGACCAGAATAAACTTTCATTCACTAGCTCCTTCAGATTGTGGATAACAAGGCTTACAATCAGCTAATGGTCCTCCACTAAGTAAAAGAGTATTCAACCAGGGCGATTTTATGGTCCCTACAATCCACCTCACCTCATACTTAAAACTAAACAAACATCGAGTCTGACTAGTGTGACTACTACAAATTTCAGACATGCTAAAGTCATATTGAAATACATGTTCATAACTTGTAAAGCTGGAAAATGCTGCTGATTGGAGAAAATCATTTCTTTGCAATAAATAGCCCCCACCTTTGCTCACCCATTGAGCTCCTAACCAGCTTCGCCTTCCAACCGCCAACAATTTCATTGTAGTCTTCCTGGGATACCATATAAAGTCATAAAGCAAGAAAATGGAGTAAGTTTAAGTACTGATAGTTAAACAGACTCAAAAATAAGGAAAAAGAAGTGCAGAGAAGAAACCCGCACTTCAGAAAAGTCATATATGAATGTCCCTCTAGCCTTCTCGACAGCATCCAATTCCCTCTGCAGAACTTTTATGAACTGAATAAGCACCATAAAAGCAAAGCTTGTTAGGTTCCTGATCCCCAGTTGTTGTAAAACAAAAAAAATTGCAATGTTGCATAGACATGGAAACGCAAGTTGGAATCCAACATGTCTGGGAGTGACTCAGCAATTAGAGAAATGAATTTGTACATGTATATAGAAAAGTAAATGTTATTAAAACAGTATTTTTTGAAATCTACCATTCTATTACCCATAGAAAAAGGTCACAAAGTTCATTTTTATTAGCTAGTTGACATTCTGTATGAAATGTCAAATTTTTAGTACATTAGTTGTTAATTTATGTAAAATACCAATTGTCAAAATCTAAGGTTATGTTTGGTTTGAAGGGAAATGCAGGGAAAGGTAGGTAAACCTTTACAAACCTTATATAGGTTTTCCTGTCATTCCCTTCTTTTCCCTACATTTTCCTTCAAACCAAACATAACCTTAAGGTATCCAACATGGACATTTCATCAATTTAAGAGAGAGTCCATGCAACACTGTTTTTATCCTAACCTGATCTGTTCGATCTTCTGCATTGACTTCTTTAAAGCCAGCATCTCTGAGCATCTGTTGACAAAACAAAACATAATAGGCTATAGAGATATCTGAAGAATGTGAACTACAAGGAGAGAACAAAAAGGAAAAATAAAGGAGAAAAGGAAAACAGAAACTTCAAATATGGAATTACCTGACCATATGCCTCTACATCATGTAGATCATACCCTCTCTGCTCAATATACTCTGCAAATTCCTTAGATGGAGATCCAGCCCTTTTGCAGTAATCACTAATAAGAACCTTACCACCAGGCTTCAACCACTTGAAAAAGCTTTTAAATAATGCAGGTTTGTCCTGAAAGTACAACAAGGAATACATTAAGAAGGAATTGGCTACTCGGATCTATGAGTTACATTATGCTTTTGTATGTGTTCTTAAGCTGGAGAAGAATGTTTAAAGCCAAAGATAAAGTATTGATAAAAAAAGCTAAAGATTGAAGTTGAGAATGAAGCAAAAAAAAGAGTTGCAACCCACAGGAACTCTACACATTGAAATACCAGAGAGTGTGGAACAATAAAATGTAGAAATTGGCTGGAAAAAAGTCCTAACAGTGATGATAAGCTTAAGGCATGTCCAAGAAGATGTGGTGGTTAATCTCACACTTCATATATAGTTGAGACTATGCTGAAAATGAGAATTCAGACATTCAATTTCAACAGTTTAAGACACAAGGAATGCATCATAGTTTGGTCATGTGCAAGAAGCCTACCGTATAATCTAAGTTTCTTGAAGTAGCATTAAGAGTTTCTCTACGGTTCATTTTACTAGTAAAGACAAATCAGCCTTTGATCTCAAGTTCTTTAAAACATGAGTTCAAGTTTTCTTGAACTGGGGGAAAACAATGCAAGAGCCAAGTGGCTGAATATGGGATTTTTTTTTAATTTCTATGTACTTTATATTTTCTGTAGTAGGGGTATTTTTTTCGTTTTATATATTGCCTATCGGATAAGGTTTAAAATCTTGACTTATAAAGTTTGGTTGTGTCTGAATTTTCATAGCCATTGGTTTGAGGAGTTCAAGAGTTCTTGAATTTTCTTGTGATTATTGCAATTCAATAATTTTTGTTTTGCATAGTTCTAATAGGATTGCCCTCGTAATGTATATATAGAATGTTGAGTGATTTCCATGCCCTTGAGTGATTCTGGACACCCTGTAGAGTGATTTTAGTTCTCAGTAAAGTTTCTTTATTTTACATCAAAACCCATAATTTTAAGTGAACAGGCTATCAGAGAGGGGCAGCAAGATAAGTGGTGGCGGAAGTAGGACAGCAGTGGGAACTTGTTCAAGATAGCTTCCCTCAAAAAACATATCTGGAAGACAGCCGCTCCATCAAAGGTTGGATTTCTAATATGGCCGGCTGGCTTTAAACAAGTGGCTTACAGTTGACAGCCTAATTAGAAGGGGTATGCAGATCACTAATCAAGTTTGTGTTCTATGTAATCAAGCGGTGGAGCAGGTGGACCACCTGTTTATTCACTCCCCAGTGGCCCGGGGAATATGCCTGATCTTCATCAGAGAGGCCAAGATCCACTGGGTTGTCTCTGGCTCCTTGGTGCTGCTGTCTTCTTGGCACAGATAAGGGAAGATCATTTGGAGTTTGGTACCAGCAACTATTTTATGAACTCTGTGGTCTGAAAGAAATAACAGACTATTTAACTATTTAAGAGCAGCATCAGATCAGAAGAAGACCTCCTTAGGGTGGCTAGCTGCAAGAGGGCCTTGGCTACAAAGGATTTATCTCAGTTGTCCCCTATGAGAATCTTGTACTCTGTGTGCCTTCCCTGGTGTTGTATGTTATTCACCTTTTAGCTATTTTTGTCTTTTTGTGCCAAACCATCTCCAGTTGCTTCCAATATTTGAATGCCCTCAGATCTATACAACCTTAGTGCAAGAACTTTAAATCTCCTTTTTCTGGAATTTTGCAATTTATTTTGTGGGAAACCTGCTCAAAATGCTTTTAAATTAAACAGCACCAAGCTATCCATTATTGTAAATATCTCTGGAAACTTTATTAAAAATTTCACCCCTAAACTTTTTTGAATTTTCTATTCTTCCACCCTTCCACATATGCAGTACTCAATGATTCGACTGAGGACCTTTTCCAACTGCAAATGATGCTTCTCTTTAGTCCCAAAATCATTTCAAAAGTCTATAGCCTATGATTACACCTTAGATTCATCTTTAGGTCATTCAGATGAATCTTTGACACAAATGCAGGGGTGGACAGATAATTTAGGCAAAACTGCAATCATATTGGATTATTGATAAGTTTAGAAGAACCTCAAGGAATGAATCCAGGTTAAGAGTAATTTACTGTTATAACATAATAACCTGAAGTTAAATCTCAACACTATTGCACATCCTGTATTGATATAAGGGTGACAATTTACTCTTACAATATGTACAAGCATGTTGTAGAAAGTTTCATGGTTTTTCCCCACATATGATAACAGCCCAACAAAGTCAATATAAGATAAATATGGTTGAGCAACAAATGCAGAAACATTTCTATAGAGTTCTGAAAATAGACGAACTGAAAAGTAAGAATTCAGAAAGAGGTAGATTACTTTGATGTGGAGAATGGTATCACGGCTGTAGATCACATCAAATGTGTTATTAGGATATGCTTTCTTGGTGCAATCAGCAACTTCAAATTCCACCAAGCATTTGCGGCCAATGGCACGCTCAAGAGCAAAAGAAACCATATTTATGGAAAGATCAATTCCGAAAACCTCAACATCAAAGTTTTCCGCCATGTAGAAGTCACCTCCTCCAATGCCACAGCCCACATCAAGGACTTTCTGACCAGGCGTAAGTTCCAACTTTGCCACAAATTCCTTTGTTGTGTCTGTCATATGTAGATGACACTTAGTACAACTGAAAAGATATCTCAAATAGAAAGTCAAGTGTGTATACTTTTTATTGTAAAATTCAAAATCCACAGAGGAGAACTTAAGTAACCAGGAATGTTTTTGCCACCTCACAAAACTCTCTTTAATAGTAAGAAGAGTTTTATCTGACTAATAATATAGCAAACTTTAATCAAGACGATATAATTCATAACATCAAAATAGAAGTGACATGATTATAGAAAATCAAAATATGGTTCATAACAAGAAGCACAAAGAAAGCTTGGCCCTTGTATTTTCCCCAACTATAGCATGATGCCTTGTCAAGTTACACAAATAACTTGTACATCAGAGATTATGCCTGTTAATTACAAAAAGTGCATTCGTATAAAAAAAGGTACCCCCAAAGCATCTATGTACTGCTACCCACGAATATATCCTGCCTCATAGGGCCTTTACAATTTTATAACAGTAGGACTTAGTGGTCAAGTTGTTTCCACCACAGACACTAAGCTGCACTAACCTAAAATTTCCACAAACCTTCCATATGGAAACACTAAGGTGAGAAACTAGCCAATCTCAAGAAAAGAAGAAGAAAGGCTCTTTGCTTAGGTGACAACTAAGATTTGTTTTCAGTGAAGCTGCTGAAAAGATTATGCTGAATCTTTTTTTTTTTCATTAAAGTAGGACTTGGTAGTTGAATTGTTTCCACAACAAGCACTTATTTTTCTGCTGGGAAATTTAATGACTCATAACCCATAATTTGTATTGTTAATTACAAGTTGAAGAAGGAATTTATGAATATCCAGATCAAGATGCCAAGGTAAAAAGATATTGCAATCAAAAGATACAAAACTTTTTCAATTTTTCCTATTAAATGATGTAAGAAAACTAAGCTTGCATACCAATCCCTCCTGTGCTCACAAAACCTTCTCCAAAGACACGTTCATATCGTAATATGCCATTACATTTATACTGCACATTATCCAAGAATCGTTGGAACCCCTTATCTTCATGTGAATTGACCTTTTGCAATATCCAACATATCTGCATCAAACAGGATACCATATTAGCGTTAATTCAGCTGGCTACGGTCTGACTTAGACCAAGTTGGAGAACTGCAAACTAAGAAACATCCAAACACATTGCCTGATTTTGGTTCTTCTTGTTTCTCACATATGCTCCAATGCACTTGCATCCAATAAGAGAAAGCTCGAATGAATTTCCAGACCTATCATCCAAGTGTAATTCTTTAAATACCTGCAGTACATGTCAAATTATAAGTAAAACATCACAGGTATGTAGAAAAATTGCTCTTTGAAACTAAACTTCTTCAGAAAGATCATCTAATCACAATCTTGTGTTTTTTAATCTAAATTCAGCCCCATAATGACAACAAAGATGAAAAAGAAAAATATCATTATTTTCTGGCTACACTTATAACCTGATTAGAAGTTAGAACATAGAGAATAAAATCAATATCAACTGATGAACTTTGACCACAGCTATATATAAAAAGCAACCAACCATGAACAAAGGATAAGAAGTAGCACAAAGACAAAGAAAGAAAAAAAAATGAATTTATCTTAATAGGATTATTTAAGGCTGAAAAACTAAATGAACTGGATAGGGTAATTAAGTGCACACCTTTGTGTAAAATCTTGGTTCACGATAGTGTGTAGGATTGTTTTTCCGCTTACAATCTCCAGATTGATGAAAACAAGATTCTCTGAAGAAAATAAAGCCTCCAACCTTCAACCATTTTGCCATCCTTTCAGCCAGATTCTCAACCTGCCAAGTGCCAACCATGAAAATAAATGAAATAAAAAAAGCTAACTTAGATGACAACAAAATAATTTATTCAGGAGAAAAAAACATTATATGGTGACAAAAAGAAGTTATAAGCAAAATAAAAACAGAGCTAAATTGGTAAATGAAGCATCAAATCAAGTAAATAAAATAAGCCAAGTTATTGAATATTTTACATATGAATTGATAAAATAAAATATTTCAGAGAAATGAAAAGATAAAATCTGACAACGTATATATGGGGTGAACATACCTGCCAAGTCAAAAGAGTAAAGGTTACTAGATCACGAAAGGGGGAAACAAAATTTAGGCAATTAATATGCTGACAACAAAAAATATTGTGATTAACATAAACAAAAGCTTATAAATACTTATTTTACATCATCATCAAATAAATAATATATAGACATATTTTGTAGGTGTTTGTGCATGTATAAACATTCTAAGATAAAATTATTTGTATACACAATTTATGATCAATTTTATCAGCTATATTTTATTAAGGCTTCCCTAAATTTTTTGGTAAATGCCCATCCTCCTAGGCTTCTCTACCACCTTAGGCATTTATAAGACACCGATCATGGCTAAGATGCTTAATCAGAAGCACGACTTGAATGGGAATGGAATGGATGAGAAAGAGAATTAAAAAAATATGATTCTAGATTAAGAACATCCATTTCTTAACATAGGCAAACTACAGTAAGCATCCTCCAAATCCCATATATGCATTAGTATCTAATTTGAGAAAATGATGAAACAACTTGAGAAAATAATGGATAACCTCTTTATCTGACAGATACATAAGTAGCCAATTCGAGAATATTAAATCCACAGACTCGGATGCAATCTGTAAATCTGGAGATGTTACATCCGCACACAAAAACTTGACATTCTTATGATGGCCATTGATGCTTTCATTCTGCAAGGTTCCAATTTTGGAAAAGAAATATTCAGATGTCCAAGTATTCTGAAGAGAAATAACACATTTCTGCTTTCTGCTATATTATGTATAATACTAAAAAGTAAGATTACCTTCTTTATCACATTTTCAATGAAGTCCAAAGCAAGAACCTGACCAGCCTCCTTAGCCAGTTCACCAGTGAAACGACCAATACCTGCTCCTAGCTCCAATACACTTTTCCCCTTAAAAGGAGGAAGTAGAGAGAGTACCTATTTGCAATCAAAATAGTTCATTGTTATAAGACCAAAAACAAATAATTAGACTATTCAAATGATAAAAAGTAATAGAAACTGAAGAAGATCCTTAGGCATTTATGCAGCTCAGTAGAGAAAAGCTCGACAATCAACCAGAAACAGGGAAGCAGACAGACAAGTAGAAAAACATAATCAATTGTACACATATTGATGGAAATTTTGAAACTCTAATTCTTAATCTTTCTTTCTATCAGAAAAAGGAAAATGGATGCATCTACTATGATGTTGTCCGTTATCTTTTACCAGTAACTAGACATTTTTCCTAAAGATATTAGTACACAATGGCAAGACAAGCACATAATTGAAAAGTTCACCCAAAAGTCATCTGGATGATTCAATTGATGCTGAATGCATGCCAAAAAATGCTATATAATACAAGAATAAGATGGAAAACCTTTTATATGACGGATTTCCATTACTCATGGCAAGAGATCAACCACTTTTTACTATCATAGCTCTAAAATAACAAATGACAAACCATACCAAAGACATGTTGAATATTCACATCAAATAATTTCAGACCAAATTGAATAATTTCCACAGGGCCACCCTGGTGGTTTATTAGTTCCGTCACTTCCATGCGGTGATAAAGAAGAAAGAAATTATATATTATTGGAAATGCAGTCGTAGGAAGAGAGGTTCAAACTCTGAGGCAGCCAAAAAATGTGAAAAGGAAGAGGTTGGAATAAACAGAACAATTATTTGTTTACCCTTCAATTTCTCCATGCAGGCCAGACTTCGTAAGAAGAAAATTAGAGGAAAAAAAATGCTACCATCCTTGAAATACATCTTAATTAGGTTGGCTTAACAACATAAATCACCACCATCTTGTGTTTGAGAACATATTTTTGACACAGAAGGGTATCCTATCTCTTCATTTCTAGATGAATTTATCCATGTGTATCAACACTCCGATCCAAAAGCATATAAACATAGCTAAAAAAATCCAATCACACAAAAAATCTTAAAAACCGTAATCAAAAGAAAAAACAATAACAACAGAAAAAAATTTCAAAACATTGGCCTTTTCCATACTTAACAAGAACAAACACCTCATAATCATGAAAGAGAAAAATGGAACATAAACCAATATCAGGTCTCCATCAAGAAATTAAAACAAAAAAAAAGACCGAAACATAGAAATTTAGCGAGGAACACTTATTACTTCAGGTCTCTCTTCCTTGTCAAGATCAGAAGCTTTGGAATCAAGCATCATAGCTTCAACAGTCAAGTCCACAGAGTGCTCAATCCAGTAGCTCTTCTGGATCTCGCGTTCTCCACCTACAAAATTTCACAAAGTAAACCATTTTCAACGAATAGCAATATTACGAAATGGACTCCTCCATTAAATCCGAAGAAAAATAAACCAAATGACATTCGAATGAGATCTTACCTTGAGCAGCCATGGCGGTAGATTAAGACGTGAGATTCAGACGCTAATGCGAGGTTGTCTGTAAATTTGAGAGTTGAGGAAATGAATGAGATCAAGAGCGACTGCACTAACAACCTTCAACGGCCACACGAGCCCTCGAAAAGCTCCTCGATCTTCGATTGTAAACCCTTCCCCTCTGCTGCATCACCAATTCCTCTCTCTCGCTCGCTCTCGCTCTCTGATGTTCGTCGTGCTTTCTTCGTTCTGCTTCGCGTCTTCATTATATAGAATTGGCGAGTTGAAAATGAATCTTGCATCTGCGAAGCAAAACGGCCCCAGTGGCGGAGAAATCGGAGTATCGGACGATATAGGAATCGTGATTAGCCACGTGTCGTATCGTATGAATGGGATCTAATGCAAGTTGACCACGGTAAATTTATATGTCCTATCAATCCAAACCGTTGGACGGGTCACGGGTGTAAGAAGTAAAGATCTGTTGGAGCTACTAGACAAAGTAGGACGACCTGCAAAGCATGTTAAAAGAATTTGGTGGAGTGGCTTGAACGAACGGTGGAGATTGAACTTGTGTAAAAGAGAGATTCATCAGGGTACGATGAATCTTGCGTACAATAATATAGTTTGTCTTCATAGAAACAACTTTCCTGCTCTCACATGGAGTGGTGAAGTCATCGTGTCCGGATCTCCAGCACTCGGAATGGTGTGTGCTGGGATGCGCATTTCCATTCATAAGCGAATACATCAATGACATCACCCAGTTCGCAGACTCGCATGGGCGGAAAAATTAAACAAGTTTTTCCTTGGTCTCCGTTTGGTTCGTGGGATGGGATGAAAAAAAGGAATGGAATGGGATGAGAAAAATGTAGAATGTCAAATCTCAAAATTATGAATTTGGGGTTGTATCAAAATCGTGCAACCCCAGTGGAAAATTTTGAGAAACCACTGTTACTATTGACGATGAACAGAGGGAACCAGCGACGACGAACAGAGGAGGGAGAGAACCAATGCCTTCCTTTTTACTATCGACGATCTGCTACCTCCCCTTCTCAATTCAAACCCAGAAGCAAAGCAATGGTGGCGGCACCCCCTCTCAGCCACTCTCTTCCTCCCTCTCTCCTCTCTTCTTCTCTTTCTTCTTCTTCCATCTTTTGTTTTTCACCCCAAAAAAAGCATTGTTCATTGTCTTCTCGACAATGAACACAAGAATTACCAACAACGGTGACCATGATCATTTACCCTCTAGTACCTCTCTCTATTCATCGTCTTCGCTTTCCGCCGACAAATTACTGTCTCCAACGACACTGTTTGCTTTCCAATGGTGATTAGCGACATTGTTCATTGTCTTCGCTTTCCGCCAGTGAACTACAGTTCGTCTTCCTCTTGATGAAAGAGAGCACCCCACAACGACTATACTCCATCATTCCTACGTCTCTGGCAACCGTTTTTACTGGTTTTAACTAGTTTCTCCGATCATCCATTGTTTATGATTTCCTCATTTTCCCTCTCTCTCTGATCGCCGCTGCAGTCATAGAGCTCTCTTCTTCACCTTACATGAATCCGACGAAGAAGTAGCTCGTCATAGTGCTTTCCCCATTACTTTCCCATATATAAAACCAAACAATAAGTGTGTAAATTTTTACACTTTCCCATCACATCCCACCCAAATCATCTCACAAACCAAAGGGAGCCTTATATTTAAATGTTGCAATTTTTAAAACACAAAACAAGAAAAAGTGAAAAAAAAGGAAGCCCAGATCTAATTTTTTGAGTTCACATATGCACCACACAAGGGGGGCGCCCCACAATGCCCACAGCACATCCCCACTATGTATTGGGATTGGAAATATCTCTTGATGATGATGACATCATCATTTCTGATACTATCATCGGGAGATATTCCCCATACACAATGAGGAAATGCTGTGGGACGTTGTGGGGCACCCCCCTTGTGTGGCGCAGATTTGAAGTCGAACATTTTGGACTCAAAAGGAGAGAGAGAAATACAGCTAAACCTTAAAGTTGTATGGATGTCATTAGCGATTGTAGAGCTCTCTTTCTTCTTCAGAATAGAGTTTTTACAACTTCAGAGTAGACTTGTCTTTTTGTCCCCAACCTTTAACTAAGGTTGCAGAGAGAAATTGTAAAACAGAGAGAAATACAGTCAGGGGCGGAAGCCATCAACGATTGCAACTTCAGAGTAGAATTTTACAAAAGAAATTTGGTTTTTCTTCTCAAATATTCCATGAAAAGCGGAAACCATCTATAAATAGACTTGTCTTTTTGTCCCCAACCTTTAACTAAGGCTACAAGTCTCACGTTTTTTGGAGCTAATTTTTTAATTTTACTCAAGGACGAATTAAGGCGTTATTCAGTTTTGGGGTCCGACCAAAGCCATCCAACACATGTTGTTCGAAAACCACTTCTAATAAGATATCACATCTCCACCCGAAAAAGGGCAGCCACAATGTCTTACAGCACATTCCCGCCGTGTATTGAAAATATCACATCTCTCAATGTGGGGCAAAGATGTGAATTCTTCTAATAACATAACAAGGATTACGAACTCATTATTAAGGCTAGAGGAGCCGACCATCTAGTGAAACTACTGAGATAGAGTTATTATTTCTCTGTTTTTTTATCAATTGCTGTAACTATGTTGTTTAATAATGGTTTGAGATCTAACATAAGTTGATATTGTTAAATAATGGTTCGAGATCTTGCTGAACAATGGTTTAAGATCTTGCTGAAATTTCTTCTTATGCAAACCATTCATCGGTAGAATTCCCTATTTCAAAATATTTCTAATCTTAAGTTATCTATGCTTATTTTTCATACAAATGGTTTTTTCTTATGGAAATGAGGAAATCTTTCATCAATTGAATTCCATGTTTTAAAATGCTTTTTACTTTCTGATCTTAGGATTTTTCTACTTATTTTTCACACAGATGGTTTTTTTCTCCATTGGGATCATTCAAACTATATTATTTATTTATTTTCTAGTACTTTTATTTTAAAACATAAAAAAAAAAATTAAAACATTAGCCAAGGGCGTTATACCTAACTGGCGTATTATCAAATGAATGGAAGTGCACCTCGGCACACACCATTCCGAGTGCAGGACATCCGGACTCAAATCATCCAAGTGCAGGTCTGGTCCAGTCTCATCAGCGGCCCCATGCCATGTGTTTCCGAATTCTGTGCGAGTGTAGTGCATTATTCATTATGCACAGGATATGACCAGCGCTCTGTGGTCAGCAAATCCGAATTCTGTGTTTCCGTCCACACTGTTTTGGGGTCCGACCATTTTGATAACAATTGAAGTAGTTGAACACTTGAATAATATGATTTAGGGAGTATCTACAGCACGACTGCATTAACAAAAATAATATAATTTTGCTGTGAGAAACACACAATTACTTCTTTAATTTTGGACACAAAAGTTGCTCCCATCCCCGATCCCAACGGGCCATTTGATAATGGATGAAATTGTTAAATTGAATGGCTTATTTCTGGACACGATGTATGAAACGTGGGGACATACATGTATAAAAATAGTTTTTTTATAGGAAGGAGATCCGGACTCGCTTATTAGGCAGTGGTCTGCCAGAGTTTCTTTTTCCTATACTTTCCTTTTCATTGAAAAATATTAAATTATTCCCTTAATTTTCATTGGAAATAGAGCCATTTAGAGATACGAGCTCCTCACGTGACATGGTCTAACATACTTCCAAAAGCTCTAATTTGTTCCATTCCCTAAATTAATATATATCGATTCCAAGTTGGTGAACCATATTCCACAATTTGGAATATATAAAACATATATTTTCCCACTTTTCCCTATGTTGGATCTGTGTATTAAGAATGAATCCAAGTGGTTATTGATCCAATGAATGCATATTTGATCCAATGGTCGATAATTGGAATCTTGACTGTTGTAACAATATTCATGGAGGACGGTTTGACCTGACCTATGAAATAATGACATGTGGATATCGACTCAGCATGACCAATAACTCAATATTATAGTCTAGTGACGGGCCCACAACAGGAGAAGCTCGTCAAGATGCGAGCTCCGGGTTTCCCGAGCTCTCTTTAAAGGAATACCTTGAGGCAACTTTAGCTCGCGAATGAGTCGCCTGACCTACACCCCCTTCCCAGGGCTAAGGCACCCCGAGCTGCCTCCAAGCTCGGGGTCCTCTGACCTTTCCTAATACCCGAGTTCCTCCCAATGGACCTCGGGTCACCCCCAGGCAGGAACACACCGATCCGCCTATAAACACCCGAGGTGAAGACACCTCGGGCCAGACAGCTCGGCTTAGCTTGCCCCAGGCAGCTCGCTGCTTACGAGATAGTCCAGCACAGGGTATCTTGCGGAAGGGTAGTTCGGAATATCCTAGGAAGACCTCCTACTCGACCACCGTATCCGACAAATCTGGAGGCAGCAGCCATATCCCTCATCAGACAACGTCGAGCCTGCCATCTTCAGAAGGTGCCTTACACCTGACAGACACGTACCCTGTAACGACGTCCCCGCGCACGCCACCTCAGCCCTGCCAGTAACGGCTGCGGCAGGCTAACAGTGGCAGTTATACCAGCCCTGTCAGAGGCCAGTGGGCCGGATGTAACGGATTTTTGCTACAAGGAGTTTAATATCAAGGAGGACAGGTATGATCAGGATCATCTTCTACACTTGCGCTATCTGCACTCTTAGCCTTCGTCTTCTCCTTGCTTCTCTTACAGAGTACAAACTTAAGCATCGGAGTGTTCCCGCCAGGTAAACCTCCCGGGGATTCTTCTTCTTCTCCACCTCAGGTATCTTCTAGGAGCCACGTGAGTGCCAGCTAGGAGTGACCGGATCGCGCTACATCATTTGGCGCTGTCTGTGGGAATTGCTTCGAAAAGCCTTTCTAAAAACTTTCAAATCTCTTTACTCTTCAAAACTCAACACTCATGACATCCTCAAACAACATCGGACGAAGCATGGAGATGGATGACTCCAGGGAACAACCCCAGCTTCCTACTGTATGCATCGGACAATTCACCATCCCCCTCTCGGCGGACGGGATCCCTAGCCTGAATGTGCCTCTTACAGGGGCACCAGCCGTTGCTCCACTCCCTATTACAATCGGAGCAACCTTCACCGAACCCTCGGTTGTGCCCCCAGCGGCCAACCCGAACCAACTGGAAGACTTGATGCAGTGCATGCGGGCCATGCTGGCTCAAATGTAGCAGTTCCAATAGTTTTAGCTCTATCAGCAACAGGTACTACACC